TGGAAATTCAAATTTAGCAAGTTGGGCTTCCAACAAGAAAGAGAAGATTTGCCACTTTGAGTAAAAGAAATATGGCCGGTGGATTCATTTTAAGGAGTTCTGGTGGCATGGTGGGTAAGACATTTGGCTGCTAGCCAGAAGGTCAGTGGTTCAAACCCACCAGCTGCACCACGGGAAGAAGATGGGGAAATCTACTTCCATAAAGATTTACAGCCTTGGAAACCCAATGGGGTCACTGTAAGTGGGAATCGATTTGGCAGTGTTTTTTTTTTTTGGGGGGGGGATTAATTTTGGTCAGGAATTTCTTTCAAGTGAATATTTGGTTTTGTGAGTAAGAAAACACCCAAATCAATATTTGTTATCAATTTCTCTTTTTGACAACATGGACAAAAATCCCAAAGTGCAGCTACTCTGCCATTCCATGACCAGAAAGAACGAAGCTGCGCACACGCAATGCCACAACACCAAGGAGAGAAGAAGCGCAGCTATCTGGCATTCACAGTCACTGTCTGAACTGAATTAAGGAAGTAAAAAGTTGAATTCATTTGCACTGGCTTTTTACATGTTGACTCAGTCTAAGCCTTCTTGACATTTTTGGAGGGCCTCAGAATTGTCAAGGGAGTTTTAAAAAATCCCCCATAAAACCAACGTACAGAGATGAATTCACCAATATTCAGTAAAACCCAGTGTTTAAATGAGAAACATATGTCTAGCCATTACCCCTTCCTGTTACTCCTGCGTGGGGGAAGAGTATCGGTGGTTTGGACTGTCAACTTGATAATTGTGTTTACTCAAAGTGATGCTAGATAGCTACTATCCAATCTAAGCTATTGGGTTTCCAAAGTATTTTAAATGTTCTAGAAGAATACCTGATAGTAAGACTCTTTGACGAAAAACAAATAATCATGTTTGGAGGAGAATGTCAAAATATAACAAGTTCCAAAACTTTGTTTGTTCTCCCTCAAAATTTAGAACGATTTCGCTCCATGTTTGTTTATTTTGTGGAAATAAAATCACCCAACCATTATCTTATGGTCTGATTGGAATATGATCTAAACAGCAGGACTGAGTCGGAATGGACTTGACGGCAGTGGGTTTTTTACTGGGAAAGCTGCGTCAGAAAGCAGAATCCTCTTTCACTGAGAGTGAGGTTGGTGTTGCTGATGTTAGGGATCTGTTGTAAGGAGTTGACCGCCCACCCGGTCTCTGTGTCATCCTCTCTTCTATCTGATCCCAGAAAGGCAAGAGTCTGACCCAGGGAGGCAGTTCTCCATGGGTCTTTGGTGTTTTTGCCCATCTTCCGTGCTTTTGTTCTGGACTATCTTTTTTCAAGGATATTTGTATAGCAAATAGCCTGGGGAGATAGAGATCACTATGCCTTCCTTCCAGGGGTCAGATTTGTTTCCTGACCACGTGTCTTAGTTTTCTAAGGCTGCTGTAACAAAAATACTACAAGGCAGATGGCTTCAGAGAACAGAAATTTATTGTCTCAGTTTCAAAAAAACTCCAAACTCACTGCCATTGAGTTGATCTCAAACTCGGGTTTCCAAGGCTATAAATCTTTACAGACTGCCTCATCTTTCTTCCATAGGGCAGCTGGTGGGCTCAAACCGCCAACCTTTTGGTTAGCAGCCAAATGCCTTAGCCACTATACCACCAGAGCTCTCACGGTTTAGGAGGCTAGAAATCCAAATCATGGCATAGGCTCTGGTGAAGGTCCTTCCTTGTTGGTAGCCCCAGGAGTTCCTTGGTGTCTTTGCCATCTGTCTTCCCCCCGTGTGTCTCTGTGTATATATTCTGCTCTTTTTATAAGACACCACTTAGAAGTGATTAGGTTTAGGGCCCATTGTACTTTGGCATGACTGGAAAAGGAGTAGAGGCTTTTTACATAGAAATAGAGAAATAAGAGATTGTGAACAAGAGTGAAACAAGGATGATACCACCATCAACTCCACACTGGGCCATGTGTGGAGTGTGGGAAGATGAGTTGCTTTCATTGGATAAGGCTGTAGAGACACAAGTATCCCCACAAGAGAGTCTGTTTTCAAGGAAGGGTGAAAGATGGAGGATGAGACCTGTGGTATGGATAAAGATGGAGGAGGGTGGGCTTATCAGACAATGGAGTTTGTATGATGGGGACAGAAACAGTGGGAGTCTGTGTCAGGAGGAGGAGGCCCAAACAATGTGGGGAGGAGAAAGTAGGAGACGATAGATGATGAGAAGTTTGTACCTTGGGTGGTGGCCAAGGATGACAGATATGGACGTCATGGATGAATTAGCTGACCTTAGGTTCCCCAAGAGAATGCAATTATGAGTCAGTGCTGGTGCACACTACAGCCCTATGGCACTATAGGCCACTGAGCAGAATTCAAAACAACATGTTGGTATTTAAGAGTCCAAAAAGTTAATACCCAAGATCATTGTCTTGTGGTGGAAATGTCAGAGGCAGCTTCTAGGGGTCAGGGGGAGTAGCCACTTGGGTGTGGATTGTGCTTTGTTTGATAGAGCAAGAGTGGGTTTATTTCCTCTCACTTAATAAAAACTCCAGCAGTGAGCATTCTGAGACTGGGGTAGAGACTCCACAAGGTCATCAAGGACCCAGGCTTCCTCCAGCTACCCACTCTTCCACCAGTAGGATGTGGTCCTTGCCCTCATGGTAGGAAGAGGAAGGCAGAGACGTGGCAAAGGGGGATGCCAGCTGACAGAACCCCTTTTAATAATCCTTCTTGGAATCCCCACCAATGACTTCAGCTTACATCTCAATGACACCCCCATCTGTAAGAGATACTGGGATAAGCAGTTTTGAAGGTTAGCACATTAACAACCCTCCCCCCAAAAATATCTATGGTTATGCTAAACCCACTGCCATCAAGTCGATCTCAACTCATAGCAACTCTTTAGGACAGAGTAGAACTGCCCCGTAGAGTTTCCAAGGCTGTAAATCTTTATGGAAGCAGACTGCCACATCTTTTTCCCACAGAGTGGTTGGTGGGTTTGAATGACTTACCTTTTGATTAGCAGCCAAATGCCTTAACCACTGCACCACCAGAGCTAGTAAGGAAAAAGGGTGAAAATGGCTATTGGGGAGGCAACTAGAAGTCTCTGTCACAGACATATTAAAGAAACAGAAAATGCTATTATTCATTTCAACTTAGATTCGTGCACTGATTTTTTGTCCATATGTAGCATGTTTGTCAAACCTCCCTACTTCATATCTGGTTCAATGTTTCTCTCTTAAACCCAGATCACTGGGGCACTGTCCTTCATTGTAAAATTTTCCCTCCCACTTCCTTTATTGGAAGCCACAGTTGTGCTCTCATTTTTCTTGGCCACTGATGAGACAGGGAATCTTCTTCAAGTTCTACCACAGTACTGGATTCACGTGTAGCAGGTAGCTTTTGCTGTGTAACAAACCACCCCAAAATATGGTGATTTAAGATAACCACTCTTATGATAACCACTCTATTATGAGTCTGTGGGCGGATTTGTCTCAGCTGGGCTGTTCTTCATCTGTTCTCACTAGAAACACAATTTCTGTTTGTTTCTATTTGTAGTGGTTATCCTAAAACATATAGGTACAGTCCTGT